AAAGACTACCAGTGTGTCATCTTTTTCATTCCTCAAGAAATTCTATTGACAGTATTTCCTAGGGTGAATAATATCACTTATTACATGTTATTTGTTCAGATGTAGAAAATACATACATTTTTCTGTTCTTTTATCTTCTTTTGTTAAAGACTACATTAGGGGTGAGATAACTATAGCAAATACTTTTCTTCTGTGGCAATTCTGTTGCAACACTAACAGGAACAAGTAGGACATGAACTAGAGCTTATTTTTGTCATTGAAACCTGTTATAATACTTGGTTAAGCCATAGACACCACCATTTTTAGAGGTAAAAATATTGAAATGTTGACAATTTTAAAGGGTTCAATGAAATTTAACTACTTTTCCTAAGTGGATCAGTAGAAGCCAGGAGTTTAAGACCAGCCTGGGCTAAATAGGGAGAGCCTGCCTCTTTTAAAAATTTAAATATAAATCAACTGGGCGAGATGTGCTTAGATACTCAGGGAGCTGAGGCAGGAGGATCAGTTGAGCCCAAGAGTTTGAGGTTACAGTGAGCTAAAATGGCACTACTATGCTCCAGCTTAGGCAACAGAGAAAGACTGTCGCAAAAAAAGAGAAAGAAGAGAGAGGAAACGAGATGAGACGAGACAAGGAAATGTAAGCACTTCTACTATTTGTAGCTGTTTCAACTTAAAAATTCTCTTTTCAGCCGGGCTCAGTGGCTCAGCCTGTAATCCCGCGCCTTTGGGAGGCTGAGGTGAGCGGATTGCCTGAGCCCGCGGGTTCGAGACTCGCCTGGGCAGCGAGACCTCATCTCTACAATAAATCAAAAAATGAGCCAGGCGTGGTAGCGCGCGCCTGTAATTCCAGCTACTCGGAAGGCTGAGGCGGAAGGATCGCCAGAGTCCAGCAGGTTGAGGCTGCGGTGGCCGGGAGCAGCCACTGCACTCCAATCTGGGCGACAGAGTGAGACTCCAACTCAAAAAAAAAAAAAAAAATTCTCTTTTCTTTCTTCCTTTTTTTTGAGTTGGGGGTCTTACCCCATTGCCCAGGCTGGACTGCAGTGGCACATCATTGGCTCACTGCAGTCTTGACTTGGCTCAGGCTATCTCTCCACCTCAGCTTCCCATGTAGCTGGGACTACAGGCACACACCACCACACTGCTAATTTTTCACTTTCTGTAGAGACCAGGTCTTGCTATGTTGCCTAGGCAGCTCTTGAATTCCTGAGCTCGTGCAACCCTCCCACCTCGGCCTTCCGAAGTGCTAAAATTACAGGCATCAAGAAACCATACCCGGCCAACTTAAAAATATAATTATTGATCTATAAATTAACTGCCTCCTATCTTAAATATCTAATATAGATTTATATTATTAATTTTGCAACAAGCAGAAATGGAAATTGCTACTTAACAATAGGAGTTTTAAGACTGCAGTGATATTATGGTATTAAATTTTCAAAAGACGATCAAATATGAAAGGTTATCCCTTTTTTGGTAGATTCCCATTTTTAGAAAAAAATTCTGTTTAAGTTGCAAAGTTCAACTTATTAGATGAATAATAATATCAATCATTAATAAGGCTGACTTATTGGCTTTAAAAAACAATTCTAAAGACTAGACAATTTTTGTTATATAATCATCTTTTAAGAATTAGGTAGAAATGTTTCTAACACTAGCTGATACTCAAGAAAATAATAGTGTTAAAAAATAGTTTTTAGCTGGGCTCGGTGGCTCAGCCTATAATCCCGCGCATTGGGAGGCTGAGGTGAATGGATTGCCTGAGCCCGCGGGTTCGAGACCCGCCTGGGCAACTTGGTGAGACCTGATCTCTACAATAAATCAAAATGAGCCAGGTGTGGTAGCGCGCACCTGTAGTTCCAGCTACTTGGAAGGCTGAGGCGGAAGGATCGCCGGAGCCCAGCAGGTCGAGGCTGCGGTGGCCGGGAGCAGCCACTGCACTCCAGTCTGGGTGACAGACTGAGACTCAAACTCAAAAAAAAATTAGTTTTAAGCAAAAGGAGGATACTTTTCATTCACTAGTAAAAAATAATATTCATGGCCGGGCTCAGTGGCTCAGCCTGTAATCCCACGCTTTGGGAGGCCAAGGTGAATGAATTGCCTGAGCCCGCAGGTTCGAGACCTGCCTGGGCAACTTGGCAAGACCTCATCTCTACAATAAATCAAAAAAATTAACCAGGTGTGGTAGCACATGCCTGTAGTTCCAGCTACTTGGAAGGCTGAGGCGGAAGGATCACCAGAGCTCAGCAGGTCAATAATGAGAAGAGGCAAAAGCAACATGGTTGGAATTCTGACCTTTTGGCTGATAAATATTTATTAATTAAAAAAAACTAAGTTTCAATTTTGGGGTTTAGAAATTTTACAAGAAAAGCTAATAGTTTAAAAAGTGGAGGCTGGGCGTGGTAGCTCACGCCTGTAATCCCAGTACTTTGGGAGGCCAAAGTGACAGAACTGACTGACCCCAGAGGTTTGAGACCAGACTGTGCAACTTGGGAAGACCTTGTTTCTACAATAAATAAATAAATAAATAAGCTAGGCATGGTGGCGTGTGCCTGTGGTTCCCACTACTTGGAAGGCTGAGGTGGAAGGATCACCTGAGCCCAGCAGATCAAGGCTGCAGTGGCTGTGAGTGTGCCACTACACTCCAGCCTGGATGACATAGTGACACTCTGACTCAAAAAAAAAAAAAGAAAAAAGAAAAAAAGTGGAAAGAAAAGGCTTATTAAGGATGTATTATGGTCCCTGCACCATTTCTCGTAAATTCCTCACAACTTTACTGAGGAAGTATTATAATCTTCATTTTTAAGTACAGGAAAATGACTCTCAGATAAATTAAGTATAGCCTGTCCTCCATATTCCTGGATCAAAATTATTTTTAAAAATTAGTAAATTAAAAATAATACAATAAAAAATACAAAAAAGATGGTATGACAACTCTCTACATTGCATTTACATAATTATATGTATCTTAGGTATTATATGTAATCTAGAGATGTTTTAAAGTATATGAGAGGATATGTATAAGTTATATGCAATTATTACACCATTTTATATAAGTGACTTAAGCTTCTGTAGATTTTGGTATCTGAGGATCCTGGAACCAATCCCCCATGGATACCATGGGATGACCATAATGTGCCAACAAATGGTAGATGGATAAACACAAACATAACTGATAATTCTAAAAATCTCATATTAGGCATTGGAGTATAATCTATTTAAAACAGTGTACATTAAATGTTGTTTTAAGCATGTATGACTGATCCAGAGTAATCATAAATATTTTGCTGCCATATTTTCTTAATCTATAAAGTAGGAAAGAGTATATGCTAAAAAACTATGCAAGGCTGATATGGGAAACAATAGAAATGGTATAATACCATGAACAGAACTCCATTTGGTATTTATATACATAGGAAGAATTTTAGCAAATTAATGACAAGGAGAATCATGTAGTGACACAAGCTTATAAAACATGAGCTCATCTGGCCAGCAGCTCACACCTGTAACTGCAATACTTTGGGAAGCTGAGAGGGGAAGGATACTTGAGCCCAGAAGCTCGAGACCAGCCTAGACAACATAGCAAGACCTTGTCTTTTATAAAAAATAAATAAATAAATAATTAACAGGGTGTGGTAGTATATGCCTGTAGTCCCAGCAACTTGGGAGGCTGAGGAGGAAGGATTCTTTGAGCCCAGGAGTTCGAGGTTGAGGAGAGCTGTGATCATGCCACTGCACTCCAGCCTGGGCAACAGAGTGAGAAGTGAGACCCTGACTCAAAGAACAAAAAGAAAAGCAAAGACATAAGGTCATTTAATTCATACTTATTCTTTAGGAATGAAAAGTGAGTTTTTCTGACCCAAATGAAAGTAAATTTCTATTTATCAAAGCATTAATAAATTATTACTAACACAAATCTGCTAAAATTAAAAATGGGGCAAAAAACAGATGAGTTAATGTCAAAGAAGGGAAGCCAGGGAATAGACAGATATCCATGAGTTCTTCCTACTTTACAGGACCTCTGATGATTTCTTTTTTTTTTTTTGAGTTGGAGTCTCACTCTGCAGCCCAGACTGGAGTACAGTGGCTTCTCCTGGTCACTTCAGCCTTGACCTGCTGGGCTCCAGTGATCCTTCCGCCTCAGCCTTCCAAGTAGCTGGAACTACAGGCACGCGCTACCACGCCCGGCTAATTTTTTATTTATTGTAGAGATGAGGTCTCACCAAGTTGCCCAGGCGGGTCTCGAACCCGCGGGCTCAGGCAATCCACTCACCTCGGCCTCCCAAAGCGCTGGGATTACAGGCTGAGCCACCGAGCCCGGCTTGATATTTTCAAAATTAATATATACTGTGGGTAGTGATGCAATATTTCTAAATAATAATGTTACAAAATAGAAGATTAAAGACATAAAGATTCTGAATAAAGTCTCCAGTATTCCTTATTACTTATATGATTATACATTAAATGTTTCTGTTCAAATATATCTGTCAACACAAGAAATCAAAAAAATTTTTAAAAGATACATATGACAAAAACATGATGCTTCTGAGATTTCCTTACAACTGCAATAAACAAATGTAGGTAGAGCAAAAGTAGAAAATACAATGTGGCAATATAAATCAAACAAATTAAAAGAAATAGAAATAAATTTTCTAATGTCTAGAAAACTACAGGCAAATTATAACCAAACACTGCTTTCCTTGTGTTTTTTGTCTAACATGTTTTTCTGTGCATATTATTTTATATACTATTATGTATATTTTGGTTTCCTGAGGTATGAGGTGTATGTTCTCACCTGGAGTGAACTACAAAATTTATTCACTTATTTGACAAGTAATAAATTTAGTGCCTACTATACGTAGTGTACTGGGCACTAAGCTAGGTCACAGAAAGTCCCACACTCAAACAAAAAAACTACTCTCATCTCATAAATTACATTCTAGTAGACATCAAAGTATGAAACACATAAATAAATGTAAAAAGATTCCAATAAAAGATACCTGACAATGCATTTCCATGAAGAGCCATCTTGATCATCTTGCTCTTCTATGTACATCCTGACATTGTGATCTTGATCCAACTGGTACCAGTACATGAGGCCATCTTTGTCTCGCCCAATTGGCTGGAGACGCATAGTATCAGCATCTTCCTCATTAATAATATTCTTGAATTTCAGATTGTCATCAAACTGACACTCACAGAGGTACTGAAAAACAGTCATAACACAGCTTAAAATACCTTATCAATGTTTCTCCACTACAGGAAATATGATACAACCACAGAATTGATTCAGAGACAGGAGCAGACAGAAGACACATAATATACACATCTTTCACTATCCTCACCTGCCCTTTCAAACAAACTGTTTAATACAACCAATGAAAACAGATATTCTCCATGATAAACACTTTGAGGGGAAAAAAGATAAATTTTAAGGTAACATTTTATATTAATATCACACCAATTTATAGTTTTAACATGACCACTAACAAACAAATCAAGTTATAATTCAAAAGACTATGAACTCCCAAATTGCCTCATGGATTAATATTTTTAAATTTAATCTTTAAAAAATTAATATATATTTTTGAGTCACAGTCTCATTCTGTCGTTCAGTAGTACAATCATAGTTCACTGAAGCCTTGACCTCCTGGGCTTAGATGACTTGTCAGGATGCTGACATCCTGAGTAGATGGGACTACAGTCACATGCCACCATGCCTGGCTAATTACTTTTTTTGTAGGGACGAAGTCATGCTATGTTGCCCAGGCTGGTCTTGAACTCCTGGGCTCAAGCAATCCTTGTGCCTTTGGCTTCCCAAAGTGCTGGGATCACAGGTGTGAGCCACCATGCCCGGCCAAAAATTAATTATGTTTAACTGACAAAAATTGAAAACATTTATGGTATTTTGATATTTGTGTTCAATGTAACATGGCTATATCAAGCTAATTCACATATCCATTACCTAACATAGTTAGACTTTTTTGAGGTGAGAATATTTAAAATCTACTCAACAACTTTCAATATACAATATGTTGTGATTAACTATAGTTATCATGTTATACAAGGATCTCCTACACTAATTGCTCCTGTCTGACCTTTTGTAACTTAGACTTTATCTTCTCAACCTGCCCCCCACCTCCCTCCCTAATCCTTGGTAACCACATCATTCTACTATCTGCTTCTATGCATTCTACTATCTGTTTCTATGAATTCTTTTAGATTCCACATGTAAGTGAGATCACGGGATATTTCTTTATGCACCTGGCTTATTTCACCTAACATAATGTCCTCCAGGTTTAATCATGTTGTCACAAAAGACATGGTCATATTCTTTTCATTATTCATTTATCCACTTGTGGACACAGGTTGATTCCATATCTTTCTTGGCTATTATGATTACTGTAATATTGCAGTGAATAGAAAAGTGCAAATATCTCGACATACTGATTTCATTTCCTTTGGGGATATAGCTAGTAGAGGGACTGCTAAATCATATGGTAGTTCTATTTTTAATTTCTTGAGGAATCTTCATGCTTTTTTCCATAATAACTATGTTGTACTGGATAGGATTTCCAGTATTAAGTTGAATAGAAATGGTGAGAGTGGGCATCCTTGCCTTGCTCCTGATATTAGAGGAAAAGCTTTCAGTTTTTCGTTGTTATGATGTAAGCTGTAGGCTTGTCATATATGGCCTTTCTTGGATTGAAATATATTCCTTCTGTACCTAATTTGTTGTGAGTTTTTATTGTGAAAGCAAAATTGAATTTTCTCGAATGCTTTTCCTGCAGTTATTGATATGATTTTAATAGCTATTGATATGATAAAGCTATTTTGTCCTTTACTCTATTAATCTTATACTTACTGATTTGCATATGTTGAATAATTCTTGCATCCCAGGGTCCTAGGATAAATACCACTTTATCATGGTAAGTGATCCTTTTATGTGCTGTTGAATATAGTTGGCTAGCACTTTGTTAAGGGTTTCTGCATATGTTCATCAGGGATATTTCTTTTCTTGTAGTGTCCTTATCTAGCTTTGGTATCAGAGTATTGCTGGCTTCATAAAACGAATGAGAATTTGAGAATGATTGGTATTAGTTACTCTTTAAATGTTTGGTGGAATTCGGGAATGAAGCCACCATCAGGTCCTGGGCCTTCTTCTGATTCAATTTCCTTACCTGTTATTGATCTGTCCAGATTTTCTATTTCTTCATAGTTCAGTCTTCATAGGTTGTATGTTTCTAGGAATTGATTCATTTCTTCTACCTTATCCAAGCAATTGTCCATAGTAATCTCTTACGATCTTTTGTATGCCTGTGATATCAGTTGTAATGTCTCCAGTTTCATTTCTGATTTGGGTCTTCTCTCTTTCTTTCTTAATCAGTCATGCTAAATATTTGTTGATTTTGTTTATCTTTTCAAAAATCAACTCTTAGTTTTGTTTATCTTTTCTATTATTTTTCCTAGTCTTATTTCATTTGCTTCTGTTCTGATCGTGGTTGTTTCCTTCTTTCTACTAACTTGGACTCAGTTTTTTGTTCTTTTTCCTGTTCCTTGAGTGAGACATTGGGTTGTTTATTGAAAATCTTTCTTCTTTTTTAATGTAGATAGTTATTGCTATAAACTTCCCTCTTGGATTCGCTTTTGCTGCATCCTGTAAATCTTCACAAGATCTGTTTTTTTTCTTTTCTTTTCTTTTCTTTGGGTTGGAGTCTCACTCCATTGCCCAGGCTGGCGTGCAGTGGCTTGCTCATGGCCACCCCAGCATTGACCTGCTGGGCTCCGGTGATCCTTTCGCCTCAGCCTTCCAAGCCAAAACTACAGATACACACTACCACATCTGGCTTATTTATTTGTTTATTGTAGTGACGAGGTTTCACCATGTTGCCCAGGCTGGTCTCAAACCCACGAGCTCACGCAATTCTCTCACCTCCGCCTCCCAAAATGCTGGGATTACAGGCTTGAGCCACCACGCCTGGCCTGTTTCTATTTTTATTTGTCTCAAGATATTTAAAATTTCCCTTTTAACTTATTTTTTAACCCATTAGTTGTTCAGGAGTCATAGTATAAAATTTATCTACTCCAGCTTTACAGGAACATTATTCTTAGAAGAAATATCTGCTTCTGAAAGCCTCAGACATATGCAGTTTTCAAGGAAAGTAGTCTTTGACTGATAGCTCTGGAGAATTCTCTTAATAAAAGGATATTCACATAATAGATCAGAAGAATTGACCAGTTTTTTGTTATACATTTTGTATATGATTAGGTTACAAAGTTGGATTCCTCCCCTGAGTCTCTCTACACAGGCAGACAATACATGAAGTTCCTTCCTATCACAGCCCCTTGGCCTTTGCCTATATCAGCTATCCTTAATAGTCTATAAACTTTTTTGATCACGCATCCCTACCACTAATAAAATTTATAATACATCTTGAATAATTACATGTGTTATATATATTATATACATTTATTATGTAGCTATAAATACATAATACATACTAATACACAATGTATGCTAACATGTTACACACATTATAGGAATGTACAAAAAGTTATTTCAAAAGTTGACATTAATAAAAATGATGGCTAGAAGTTCTATAACTTTGTTCTGACCCACAATGAATCATCCTGGGGACAACAAGCTGGTCTAGAGACAGATGAGTCTGCAGGGTAATACACCCTGAAATCTGAGTTTACTATGACTTTTGGTTTTCTTAGAAAAGTATCTTAAGTATCTTGCCTTGTGTAGGCTCCAAAAGTAAATAACATATAATAACAAAATAACATATAGTCATATCCTGTCTCCAAAATAATAATATATGCACTGACATATTTTAAGAATCATAAAGTCTTCAGGTTCTTGAATGAGAAACCTACTAATAAAACATTGTAAATTTTAGAAGTAATGAAAACTTCATTAATATTTTCACAAAGAGTATTTTTTCCCCTCTATTATGTTAGCCACTTTGCTGCTAATTAGAGCCAACACTAGGAAGTGCGCAGGAAAAGGGAAACACAAACTTGTAAATAAAAGCCTACTTTGAGATGCCCAATTTTAATCAAGTGGGTTTGGTTATGTGAAGGTTTTATTAAGCACAAAATGGCATGTCCCTAGTCATCTTGAAAACAGTATCAAACTGTTAATTTAGTAAAGGAGTAAAAGATTAACCATAGTTTATAGTATACAGCAATGATTGTGAAAGCTGAAAACAACGAATACAACTACATTGGGGCAATAGCCTGCCTGAATGTCCCTACAGGCAAAGATAATTAATCCTAGATATGCCTATGCACTGAAAAACAATAAAAAACAGTAATTTAAAGAACAGATTGTTTCCATCTCCAAGAAAAAGAAGGAAAGACTCTATTGTACTCTTCCATAAAAATGTCTGTTTTTTTAATTTTCCAACTTAGCCAGAAAGAGTCAGAGGTAAAATTTTAAATTAAAATAATTATAACGAATAATGAATGCATTACCTTTAAGAGTGCAAGTTTGCATTCAACACTCATTTCAAGATAGCCCTTCTTCTCCATCTCCCATGCCCAGGTGCTGTTAAACTCTTGGCATATCTGTCAGAGAAAGGTAATATCTTAACACACAAAAACATCAGTAGGCTTGTACAATTATGCTAAGTGTTCTTGTTAATATATATTTATGAAGTAAAGAGTTTAACTTAACAGTCCAATCTAATTCTACCCTAAAATGCGTATTACTTAAACCCATCAGAAATGTTTACTATTGTTTGATAAGTGAATTTAAGGTAAGAAACAATCTCTGTAGCTCTCTCTTCTGCTCTCAAGAAATTTATACATACTTTTTGGGCACATTTTTCCACATGAGAGTAATTATTTGATTCCATCTCTCTAAATAGATGGAAGTTCCTTGAGGTCAAGGACAACAGTTTATTCATAAAACATGCAAAATTATAAACATACTTTTAACCAGGTCTATCTCAAGGTCTTCCTATTTATGGGTAAAGTAAAAATTCCATTGCTTGGCATACAAGATCTTCTATAATAGGCTTTAACTTAAATATCTAGGCTTCTTTTCTACACAAGCATTTCAGGCAAACCAGAGCCCTGCAACAGACTGAAGGAGATCTGCATTACCACACCAGTTAAAATTCAGTGCAGGAAGACCCTGGCCCAGCATGTTGGCTCTCACTTGTAATCCCAGCACTTTGGAAGGTGGAAGCTAGAGGATTGTCTGAGCCTAATCCTCTAGACCAGCCTGGGTAACCTGGCAAGACCTTGTCTCTACAATAAATAAAAAAATTAGCTAGGCGTGGTGACACATGCCTGTAGTTCCAGCTACTTGGAAGGCTGAGGTGGAAGGATCGCCTGAGCCCAGCAGATCAAGGCTGCAGTAGCTGTGAGCATGCCACTGTACTCCAGTAAGACTATTATTATTATTATATTATTAACACTGCACTCCAGTAAGACTCCGATGAGGGAGAAGAAAAAAAAATCAGTACAGGAAGCTTTCACCCATTTCAGCAGCTCTTCTTAAGCTAGAGTTCAGAAGAAGCTGATAAGGGAGATGAATACAAAGAAATGAGAATGAGTCAATGACCTCTGCCAGCCAGTTTTTTCAGCAATAAAATTGAAACAGAAATAATATTGATCTTCAAAGGTTATTAAGTAGGCATGAAAAATCATACAAAATGCCTAGCGATTTTATTCCATTTTTGCAATTCAAAAAGCAAAAAACATAATGAGGGTTAAAGGAGAAGAACCAACACAAGGCAAGAGATTATCATAGAGCATGGGCTAGACAGGCAGACAGGAGAAAAACAAGCAGGCAAGTGGGACTGCTTATAAGACCACTGCATCCCAGCAATAATACCTGGATGGCTCTCCCAAATGGGCTACCCTTTTTCTAGTCTGCACACTAGTGTAATTTTTAAAAAACCAATTTGTATAATAAAATCATAGGAGTTCAGTATTAGGATAGAAAAAGAATATAAAACAAGCATTGTGGCCAGGAACTACTAGAGGTCTTCAAAGGCTCACAGGAAGAATGAGTTCCCCATTCACTAGAGTGCCACACCTCCTCTGACTGACAGTTCTATATTTTATAGAGAGGAAAAAAACCTGGGATATAGAGAGAAAAGCAAAATTAGAATATTATACAAGGATGACCCTAAAGAGATTATATCTTTATATACAGTATAAATTTTACTTATATACAGTATTTAGGGCACAAAAGCTAAAAGATCAGGATCTTAACAGACATTTTTATCACAATGTGGAAAGACAGATAACAATGAACGCTGGAGAAGATATACTGAAAAACCTGAAACATTCACAGATTGATGGTGGAGGTGTAAAATAGTGCAGTTTCTTTGGAAAACAGCTCAGCAATTCCTCAAATGTCAACAATTAGTTACTTAGAATTCTACTCCTAGGTATTTACATGAGAAAAATGAAAACATACATCCACACAAAAACTTGTACATGAATGTTCACAGCCGCATTATTCACAACAGCCAAAAGGTGGAAGCAATTAAAATATCCACAAACAGATGAATAAACAAAATGTGGTATATCTATACAATGAAATTTTATGCAGCTATAAAAAGGAATGAAGTAATGATGCTTGCTACAGCATGGAAGAACTGCGAAAACATGTTAGATTAAAGAAACCAGACACAAGAGGCCACATATTGCATGATTCTATTTATATGAAATGTCCAGAATAGTCAAAGCCACAGAGACAAAAGTTGATTAGCAGCTGTCAGTGGGCAGGGAAAGGAAAAAAATGGAAAGTGACTACTAATGGGCAGGTGATTTCTTTTTCAGAGTGATAAAAATGTTCTGAAATTAAGATATGGTGATGGTTGCACACTCCTTGTAAATATACTAAAAAACACTGAACTGCATATTTTAAAAATAATTTTGATAGCATATGAACAATATCAAGTTTTTTAAAGAGAGACAGCCAACAATGCCTAGCTTATATCCTGAATAAAGCATTTACTGAGTACTGTGTTGCATACCAGGCCCCTATAATAAGATGTTGGCTGACCATCCCGGAGGCAATGCAGGGAAGCTCATTCTCAGTATTCTGAGAGAGGTCGAGAATGACATAGCTCCAAACCTTGGCCAATAACCTAGATACCAAAGTACGGCCAATGATTCATGGTGTCACAAATTTCAAATACAACTGAACAACTATTGATTAGCATCTACTGTGTGAAAGGGGAGAAAAGAAAAAAAGAGGCGAATATAGAGATAATTAAAATCCTCTGCCCCCACACTGCTTAACTTATATTTACTTTTATTTATATACAGTATTTAGGGTACAAAACTTCTGTTGTACAGATATTCAAAGACAAATGTGCTACTCATTTTCTATTTCTGTAAGGGCAGTGTAAATATATTGCTGTGTCATTTGATATTTTAAAAATCCACTAATTATGTCAGGTGCAGTGGCTCACACCTGTAATTCCAGCACTTTGGGAGGCCGAGGCAGGAGGCAGGAGGATTGCTTGAGTCCAAGAATTCAAGGCCAGCCTGGGCAACATAGTGAGACATTGTCTCTACAAAAAATTAGTCAGGTATGGTGGCGTGTGCCCGTAGTCCCATCTATTCAGGAGGCTGAGGCAGGAGGATTGCTTGAGCCCACGAGTTGGAAGCTGTGGTGAGCCATGATCATGCTACTGCACTCCAGGCTGGGCAACAGAATGAGACCCCAACTCGGAAAAAAAAAAATCCACTAATTAGATATGCCCAAACAGCCATAACCTACTGTCAGCACAAAGTAAAGACTGCAAATAAAACTTGCAAATAAAGAGTGCGCTAAATGACACTGAAATAATTCTTATACAGAACTATTAAATCTATATCAGGGGTCAGCATATTTTTTTCTGTTGGGGACCAAAGATAAAATAATTTAGGCAATGTGGGCCAGATGATTTATTCAACTCTACTAATAAAGTGCAAAAGCAGCCACAGAAAATCTGTAAATGAATAAGCATAACTATATCCCAATAACTTTATTTATGAATAATACAACTTGAATTTCATATAATTTTCACTTCACAAAATATTACTCTTGATTTTTCTCCCAATCATTTAAATAAGTAAAAACCATTCTTAGTTTTTCAAGTCATACATAAATAGGCCACAGGCAACAGCTCACAGGTCATAATTTGCCTAGAGAGCCAGAAACTAGCTATGTCTATCAGACTGTCTACAACAGTGTATTCTTGGGTTCTGGAAGCAAGGGGATCCCAGTTATACTGGTAATTCATATTAACTCCCCATGCTCCACCTTGATACCAACACCAAGAGGTATTATAATTCTAATTTGGTTTCACATGCAATTTTTCTTTAGGAAGAAAATGTTCCAATATTTAAAACATGAACATTTAGTATAACATTCAAATTTATCATCAAAAATCATTATTCTATAATACCGGTGCTATGTTTGATTCTCTCTAAATCTGGGTAATGAGAGAGAGGTCAGGTCTTGTGTCCTCTTGCACAGTGCCTGAGGGACAGGGACTTCTCCTGACACAACCAAAATCAATGTTTTGTGCCACCAACCTGCTGCCATTCCAATACCCTCGTGTCTTTTCCTCCTAACTTCTACACACATGAAAACAAAGTTGAGGGTGGAAAACGTTGGGCAGAGGAGAGAAAGGGAGATTTTAAAGTTTCAATTCAGCTCAATATATAGGGGAAAGGTGGTTTCACATGCCTACATACCAAACATATAGAACTTATCTCAGTGGGATCACTAGCTTACTTGTATTTATCTTGGATTCATATACACAATCAAAGGACCAGTAATCCTTCTGTGTAATAACATAAGGAGTTAAAAGTGGGGGTGGGAGGGTGGGTGTGAGATGGCTCCTAGCAGCCTAAAGCATCGCCCCTGGAGGAGCTGGTCTCCCTTAAGCTCCAGCTTGGGAAAGCTCAAGGATACCAAAGGAATTTACTGTTTGTTCCAACAAATACCTGAAAATAGGCTCCAGATTTCCTTTTCCCATGTATTAAACAAACAAACTTATAACTGTAAATCCTTTCTCTGTCCCTTTGAGATATTTATGTATGTCCAAAGACCCTGATCTCTTTTTTAAGGACCTGAAAATCATTTCTTGTAGAAGCCTAACTTTCATTAATGCCAGTTAGCAGACACAAATGGCATAATCACATTAATAATAAACAGCCAGTCGGGCTCGGTGGCTCAGCCTGTAATCCAGCGCCTTTGGGAGGCTGAGATGAGTGGATTGTCTGAGCCCGCGGGTTCGAGACCTGCCTGGGCAGTAAGACCTCATCTCTACAATAAAACCAAAAAATTAGCCAGGCATGGTAGCGCGTGCCTGTAATTCCGGCTTCTTGGAAGGCTGAGGCGGAAGGATCGCCGGAGCCCAGCAGGTCGAGGCCGCGATGGCCGGGAGCGGCCACTGCACTCCAGTCTGGGCGACCGAGTGAGACTCCAACTCAAAAAAAAAAAAAAAGGAAAGAAAAAAAATAATAATAATAATAATAAACAGCCCTCCTACTTGCATTTTGTAATTTTTTACTTCCCTAACTCTGTTCAAGCTCCTCCATTCTTCCCA